TGGGTTGCCCAAAGCAGGGGACTCATTGCCATCTGCGAGTTGCACCAATCCACGGATGAACGCTGTATTTCGCCAAAGCTCCTCCAAGGTAGGGTGATTCACAGGGCCCATGTGGTTTCACCACCTGGCTGATGAACGTTCGTCCATGTAAAAACTAATCCACGATGTAACTACTGAGTTGAATCCAACCCCTCTTTAATCAGATCGAAAGGAACCCGGTTTAGTAGTGCTTTAGGCCACAGTGGCCTCCGCAGAGTACGCAATGGCTTCTGGGTGGTCATGCGCGAGCACAAGGATCACGCCCAGGTCCATGCACAGAACTCGCATCGTTGGTGGAAGCTCTTTGGCTCCTAGCACTGTCGCACGACAAATGATGACGGGAGGACCCGAGATGGCCAGTGATGCCCCAGTGTGATGGCCTGAAGCCACAAAGTGCAGCAGGCTTCTGGCCAAGCAGGGTTGCGTTCGTGAGCAGCGCTCGCAAGATAGGCGTTTGCAAACCTTGCACCTGAATGTTGGGCAAACATGCGCTAAGACATCGTGAGTGAGGAGGCTACACGAAAGGCGAGGACAAGCGCGCTCTCTCTCTTTCTCTCTCGCTGTAGAAAAGCACTGGGTGAAGTAGCGGAATGTTTTTGCGATAGGGTGTATTCTCACTGCTAGTGGTCTTCAACAATAAGGTGGGTACAAGCTTACCCATAGTGAAGTGGGACATGTTCACGCGACGCACGTGAATCGGTATGGACACAACAGCATCCAAGCATGTTACCTCACATGTCTTCCATGAAGCGGGCAGGTGAGGAGGAGAATGGGACCTCACACTTCTAAGGGGGCAGGTTCTGGTCATTATCATTCACAAATCCGCTCCGGCAGCTGCCCAAACCTTGCTTTGCAAGAGAAAGTCAAAGAGAGCGGGTGGTCATGGGGCCTGGGTTTTGGTTTTCCCTAAAATTTTAGGTACATGCTTTAGTGGCAGCCCCTCTCCATATAAACACACATATCTATTCTTGCTCTCACTCTATATGAACAAATATATTATGGTTTGGAAGCAGCAATCAGTCATTCAGATGGTTTGGAACAAGATAATTAGAAAAGAAACATGCCATAAAAGTGGCTATTTTAACAATTGTCCTCTAGATCTCTGCTTATAATTATGTTTAGATTTGGAAAGATTGTGTATAGACTCTTTTATGTTATAAAAGATTCTTTATAGATCTCTGCAGATAATCATGTTTAGATTCAAACAACCATATAGAAACCTTGTATGTTAAAAGCTTTCTTCTAGATTTCTGCGGGCAAGAGCTTGCATTTTCAAAGCTTTCCTCAGGATCTCTGGGAAAGTAGATATCCCTATATGTGTTTTCATGAAAGGAAAGCTCTTGAAAGAAAGACTTATTTATTGATATATAGCATGTTTCAATTGACATGACCATTTCCAGAGATCCAGAGGAAAGCTTTTGAAAGGAAAGCTTATATATAGTTTTATTGTAGAATTGATCATCCCCAGAGATCTAGAGGGAAGCTCTTGAATTAGAAGCTTGTACATAAAACATGTTTAATATGTATATATTATCTCCAGTGATTACTGACAAGAAATAAATCTAACTATTTACTTCAAAAAAGAGTTTTAGTCTTGTTCCCAGCACTTCCAGAGCAAAAAATACTGTAAAACACGGGGTTTTGTAGCATGTGTTTTCTTAAACTAAATAGACTAGAGCTAGAATAGAATTAGGTAGAATTAAATTGGATTTGAGTTAGAGCTAAGATAAAACTGAAGTAAAACCGAATTTTAATAAACTTGTATTGAACTATAACTATAGCCTAATTGAAATTAGATGAGATTTGAATTAGAAAGGAATTAGAATTAAAATTAGAAGTTCGCCAGAATAAGATGTAAACGCTTGAGCTATAAGCACAGAATTACGCTCGCAAAGATTTCCAACCGTTTCATGTAAAGGACAGAGTGTCCTCGCAACTGCATGTCAAGCTGTTTGGAAATGCAAGTGGCAACCGCATTGATACCAGTCAGCAGTTAATGCACTCAGACTTGTATATGGAGATTTGGACAAGGACGAAGGAAGTGTTGAGCTCAGACGGTTTCAGACGTAAGCAAAAAGAACAGATGCCTTGAGGTGAGAAGTAAGTTCAGATGCTAAACCAAAAAACCTTGAGAAAACACAAAAAACACAAAAACAATTCTGAGAGACTCTTGCTTGGACCCCCCAAAATCAGAAGAATCAGAAAACCAAAAAACCTTGGGGAAACCAAAAAAAACAAAAAAAACAATTCTGGGGAAGTCTTGAGGAAGAGGGGGTCCAGCCAAGAGTCTCTGAGAATTGGGTTTTTTGTTTTTTTTGTTTTTTTTGGTTTTCCCAAGGTTTTTTTTTTTTTGGTTTTTCTGATTTTGGGGGGTCCAGCCAAGAGTCTCTGAGAATTGTTTTTTTTTGTTTTTTTTTGGTTTTTTTGGTTTTCCCAAATTTTGGGGGGTCCAGCCAAGAGTCTCCCAGAATTGTGTTTTTAGTTTGTTTGTTTTCCCATGGTTTTTGGTTCTTTTTGTTTTTTCTTATGTGTTTTTTTATCCTTTATGCATATTTATCAGTGTTTTTTGGTTTTGATTGTGGCACTGATGCATTTACCTAATATTTATGAACATTTATGGAAAACCAAAACCCAGGCCCCATGGCCACCCCTTCTGAAGTCAAAACAGCCCCTTTTTGTCGTTGCTTGCCGTGACTGTTCACATCCTTAACCACATCCTGACCTGATCGCCACTTACAATTCACTGAGCTGCACTGTGGCAGCTACTAGATAGTCGGTGCTAGCTGCCAGTGCAAGCAAGTAACTGAAGAGACTGCTGCAGGACGCCTACAAGCAATGTCCCACAATCGGCGCACCATGCCTTCGCAAAAAGGCATCAAAATGCACTACATTCTGCCACTAGATGTTTAAGATGCAATGTCGCCTGTCTGCAACTGCAAAACATGGGCATCCGCTTTCAGATTAGATGCTGGAGACATCAAATTCACCACCACGTCATCGTGCATTGATTCCCAGTTGATTTTGCAGGTACCTGTGCTCAGATTTCCCTCCAAACACTAACTCCGGGCACACTTGATGACCAAACGCCTCTCCCTCCGAGAGAAAGAGCTGAACAATGGAACATGATGGAACGTGGCTGCTTCTGAGTGCTTCTGGTTTCTGCTTTTGCTTGCAAGCTGCGTGGCTGCGATGGCCTTGGCACACCTGCCCGGGGTGGATGCAGGAGGCGGATCGGCACTGAAGAAAGACGCAAGGCCTTTTTTGAGGGTTCCAACGGAAAGAACTCAAGCTCTCCAAGTCATAGATAACTTGGAGATGATTTCAGGAATCTTGTACAAGGGTCCGTTTGTCGTGATGTCAATTACTTCTTTTCTGCTGTCAAGATAGCCCATGGGATATTTTCAAGCAAACCACCTGCACCTTGGTAAATCACCGTTGCACACTTGCGGATGCATACACGCAGGTGATCACAGGCTTCTTGCACACATCTGTACATGCTGGCCGGCGACGCGCTCCGTCCAATATTGCAAATTGCTTAACCATCTGCAAATTGGAAAATGCAACTTTACTCTTGCGGTCTTGTCTCTTGCTTCGAATGGTTCGCCAGTACCTTTTCAAGAATGGTCCTTTAGAAACATCCCGAATATCTTAGGTAGGCCGGTAGGCCAGATCCGGTCCGCGGCATCATCTTCGTGCATTCACGGTCAAGCATTGTGCTGGCATGGGAAGATGGTTCTGACATGCTTTCATGGCATCTTGTGTGACCGTGCGGCACCTGAGCTAATCATGAGGGAGGACAGCAGCGCCTCTTGGACAGTGCTGCTTGGACATTTGCCATCGGGGCGCAGATCAGGACGAAGATAGAAGATAGTGGCCAACACTTTCAAGAGCTCCGCCAATGAACGCGCACACACACTGTAAATGTGTGTGTGTGTGTGAGGTTAAGCGAGCTTAAGAAAGATGGGGCAACTATGCCCAAAATAGAGTACGCCAGGATGGCCTGGTATCCCGTGTTCGGACTAGCCTCGCTTGGTGTAGTCGTCATCATAACATGCTACCGCCCCCTGCTCGTGTATTAGTAGTGCATTCAAAGACGGGGCCAAGTGAGCAATCGATCAACAACTCCGTTCAACTATAGCAGCTTGCACACACACACACCAAAACTAGAAAAAGGAGAACAACATAACTATTATGCAGAGTTGAGTGAAACCAATCGAAGGACACCAAAAAGGCAAGCCAAACCTGATCGTTCATCACTCCTCAGCCCAGCATGGTTAGCCGGAATGCCCAGAAGACCGACCGACTGCGACTGGGAACTGAAAAAGGTGTTTCGATTCAGCTAGCAAGCAACGCATTAGGGCCACCACTTGGAGTCACCACTTGACCCATCTTCGTTCTCAATTTGGACACTGTATAGACACAATTGAACAATTGCATAAAATGGAAGATACATTCTTTGCACTCCGTGCCACATCGCCAAGTCTCTGCAAATCAGTGCTTTCAACCACATCGTCCGCGACAAGGAGACCACCCCTATTGGCACAGACCTTGGCGTTCGCCAGGGCATCTGCGCACGTCTGTGCTACTCTGCTTCGGCTGGACGACCACGAGCACATCTGAATCTGCTGCCAAGAGGCTGCACACGATGTGCCCAGTTGGGCGCCCATTGTGTTAGGAACTCGAGTGCTCGTGCCCAACTGTGCCCACAGGCTTTCGCGTATTGTGAGCTACAGTATCTAGAATCTAGAATGACAAATCTTGGCTTGTGGTAAAACTTCTCAATTGTGACCTGCCAATCTACTTGTAAAGCCACTGTGAAACTGTTGGCCCCAACTTGAGCACAGCAAACAGCATGACGCAACCAAAATCAGATTCAGAATGTATCAATCTATTGCCTTCGGGCCTACAGCCTTCGCCTTGAAAAACCTGGCCGCCCCTCAGCAAATGAGGCATCCTCTGGCCTCTGAAGAGCAGCCCCAACACAAATAGCCTTTGCAGTAAGAAAACGGAAGGCGGCCAAAACTTTTTCTCGACTGATCGACTGAGCCATGGCAAATCATGGAAAACGTTTGAACACAAATCATTGCACGACCTTGTGAAGCCTCAGCTCCCCACCGCCCCGAGCATCACTTCTGCTCCAAAGATAGTGAGCTCTTCACGAGCCAAGCTGGCCTCAGCGTTCAACGTGCCAGGCAACGGCTAAGCCTCGGCTAAGCCAGCTGAGCCATGACCCTTTGCTGGGCCATCTGGGGCACAGGCCAGACGCACCGCATCCATGACAGCAACCTTTGGACCATCCTGCCATCCATATCGTTCGGTGAAAAACCGGAGAAGCTTTGATTCTTCGGTTCTCTGGCCTTGCTCACTTGATTGAGCCGGTCAGTCGCGCCCTGCAACGCGCAGGGCGCGAATCAAGCGGATGTGTTCCAACTCTGAGTGCCCTGCCGTTCGGACGGGGACTGGATCCCTGGGCAAAGGAAGGCCCACAGTACCAAAGTGCCTTCTCCTGAGAGGCGCCACTTGCCATCAAGATCTTGGAAAAAATGGATCTCACTCTGTTCCCTTCAGAATGCTGAGGCAACAGCATAGAAAAGCTCACCTTAAAATCGCAGTACCATCTCCATATCCGCTCGCAACAATGCTTGAAAAGGAAGCTTGTTTTGACGCACCACATTTTGAGCGCCACCGCAGTGTGGTTGCACCGGGCTGCTAAGGCTCAAGAAGCTTCCCGGAGACGAAGCATGAACAGAACTTTCTGCACATATGCTTCTAGCCAGGAGCTGTAAGGCATGCCCGCAATCCAGTCCTGGGGAAGGCAAGATGTTGTCGAATATCATGTTCCGAGAAACCTAGTCGGGCTCACGTGGCCCCAGCCAACACAAACCGCACCTTGGGTCTTAGATGGTCTTAGGTATTTGTACCAGGATTTTATCCAAAGAAGAGGGGTCAGATGAAGCGAACACTGAAACAACAAGAATGTCTCGCATGAGGCCCGTCTCATTGAGACTTCTTACTCGGCTGAAAACTGACATGGACCCTGAAAAACCACTGGTTTGTAATTAGATGAAAAACCGTCTTTCGAGGTGCCACTTGACCCAGGTCCATGTTACTTTTTGGCCGTGCAAATCCTTGGGAAGCTGGCTGAAGCCAAGCCGACATCCAAGCAGTGCACCGGCGACAGTCCCGTTGGTGTCTGCATCTCCAGCTGCCAAGATCAGTTGATTCAGCACGCTTTCAAAGCTGCCCGAGGAACGCAAGGCCCACAGCCCGGCACCAAGGCACTTGAAGGTGTAGCCAATGGTCTTTCTCTCATCCAGATTCAAGTCACTCAATTCGCCTTCGGCATGACGTTGCATCTCTTCATCCCATTCTTCAGACAAAGCACACTCTGCTCGAGCTTTGGCCATGGCTGGGCGCGCCACAGACTCCATGATGTCCTCTGTGTCTTCGCCACGTAAAAGGCGACTAACACAAAGAGCCACCACCAAGCAGCTTGCAACGCATCGGGGGTCTGCATGAGTGGTGCGGCAAAAGCTGTCTGCAGCGGCACAAACGGTATCTTCATCCCAGAAGTGAGGAATTCCGGCCACTGCGGTCCTGTCCAAGCATCAAGGGCTACGGGCTGTAACAAACGGGTAACAAACCTGACCTGAAAAAACAAACAGAAAGTCGTCATTATATGCAACATGGTTCAACTGGTCCTCATCACTCCACCGTTGGACGGAGTTTTGGAAGAGTGCGCAGCTGCTGCCTTATGAGGCGCAGAAGTGAAGTCAGGATCGTTGAGCACGAGTTTGGTTGTCTGCCCCAATCCTGCTGCAGATTGGTCTCCGAGCTCTGGGAAGCCAGATGTCCGCCACGAAGCTAGGCGAGCTGCAAAGTCACAGGGATCTGCGTGGCCCTTCGTATTCAACAACGATTGCATCAAGAGCACCTGCTGATCAGTGTCATCTGTCCAGTCACCTGCACACCACATCATCCTATGCTCATCAGGAAAGACCTCGCGACCTGGTTGGAAATCTGCCTTGGGGCCATAGAAGTCCACCGCTTCTGCATGGCTTAGGAACTCTGTGGCGAGCCCCGCAGCATCTCCCAGAGCCGCACCGAACACCGTCCCCCGCACGCGGTCCGCCAGCACCTGGGGCGGCAAACGTGTGGCTCCGGACGGCGGTGCCTGCCACAGCTCAAATCTCAAGCGTTCCACCTGGGCAACCACGGAGAGCAACTCAGCCGTGCCCAAGCGTGAAACCAGCGACTGCTGGAGGCGTTGAAAGGCCTGTCTGCGCGAGGAGTTCTTGGCCGGGAACTTCTTCAGATTTTGAAGATCCTCCTGTACACTGGGAGTTGTACCCATGGCAATAGAACTGACCCTCCAGCAAACTTGGGCAAAATACGCTGCTGGATCAAATTGTATTTCGTCCATTAGCCGTCAAAGTGCCGATGAAATCCTAGATGTTCGCCCTCATGGCGCGTTTTCCAAGGCTGGCTTACAAAATGCACGTCTAAAAATCTGTGCATTGAGGTCCTCCAGAAAGGCATATGCACACAATGACTAGAGTCAAAGGTGGTGACCGAAAATCTGGGAGTAAACGAGCATACCATAGTCAAATCATATCATCAGCACAAGAGGCTTGGCAAGTGGAGGGTTAAAGGATACGGCTGAGATTGAAGTGTGTTTGGTTGAAATCGTTTGAAAGGCATCCTTTTTGATTGCACTCAGTGGTAGCAGTCCGCAGAAAAGTCTTAGTTCATCAACTCTTACGAGACTCCGAATGACAAGCCTCTAGCTTTGCTCAAAATCGTAAATGGCAACGGCTCATTCGCAGAGCTTTGCAGGAACAGAGCATCAGAAGTTATAACTTTGAGGCCAGAAAGTGCCAAGCAGGCAACAACTTTAGGCAACTCTCCAAATTGATCGCAATGGAGCTCTTGAAATCCTTCTTCTTCCTTTTCTTCGCTCTCTTGCGACAAATTTGCTTGGCATGCTGGCACTGGCAGAACTGCGTCTGCATGCTCCTCTGGCCGTCGGAAACCCAATCTACACGGCTCGGATTTTCGTCACCCTAGTCTACACGGCTTTGGCTGAGCGTGTGCAGGAATTGGAGGGTCTTCTAGTTGGCCCTATTCTCTGTCTCTTCTACTTGTGTCGAGCACCACTCAGCCTGTGCAAAATGCTCGAGCAAATTGCGTCTGCAGCCGCTACCTGTCAATTGGAATACTCACTTTCTCGAGCAACGATGCTCTTGTCCACCACCCGCTCCCATGAAGCAACGTTCTGGTCCCAACATGAGAAAGATAGACTTGGATCTGTGACCTGAGCTCGAGTTCTCCAATTGGATTGCTGTTGGGCTAGCAGCTAGCACAAGGGATTTGCAAAAAACAATTATGTTATCGTACCGAAACACTAAAAGAAGAAGAACAAACTTGGACCGTCTATTCTTTTTCACCTGCTGGTGGCCGTCCTGAGTTGCAACCAAGTCTCCACCAATCCCCAGCCACGCCGAGCAATTTCTCCAAGCAGCTGGGTGGCATTCCACGAGGCATACCCCCAAAAAACCTTGACAGGATTATCGCCCAACCTGAGCAAGACTGCGTCCACCTTCACCAAAGTCTGGCGACCAATCCAAATAAGAACCTCAATTGAATGCCTTCAGTATCCTTCAGGCACTTTCATTTGCCAAGATGCATGGCACTGTCGCTGGGACCAACATGTACAAAGACACTGGCAAGCAATGCCAGAATCACAGACAATTCACCTGTGGGGCGGCTGAAGGAGCGACCAGCCGAGCATCTTAGCAAGTGGAGGGCATGTCTCCGTTGTGGGAGAGAGGGGGCGTATATGCCATGTTATGCAAGGACTTCAGCATACATGTAGGGCGGTTTGATGCAAAGTTTAGCACTGTTCAGCCTTCGGAACACCATCCAACCGACGGATAGGTCTTTTAGTTATGTCTGTGCTTAAATGGGCACTCTGGAACTGCAGCTGAGCTGCCGAAGTAAATGCCTCGGTGAGAACTCCAACCACAACAGAATTGAATGATGTCTAAGATGCCTCCGCCTACGCCCACACCCCACACTGTCTGACTCACACTTGGATTGGACAGGTTGACGAGCCAATTGGACAGGCATGGGTCAAATCAAGAACGGTTGCGTGAAAGAAGCACCATGGAAGTGACTTCTGAAACTGCCGGACGTCGGACGAAAGCCACCTGACTCACCAGGAAACTCAAAAAAGCATGTGTTTGCAAGGCATCCAGTCTTCAGTGATGTAGAAGAAAAGGATTGCAGTGTACTGTATGTATATATTATATATATATAGTTACATATATTATATTATCTTATTAGGCGTCGCAGAGGGCTTGTATTCTCATATTAAGCCACACAGCCAGCGTGACGAATCGTTGTAGCCTCGAGCAGTCCTCCACATGGAGACACGAACTGCAGACTATGCTGTTGACAGATCTGACCAGAACTGAGAACAGGTGCTGCAGGAAAGGCCACTGAGAGTGAGAGAGGGAGAGATGCAAGCAGAATGAAGCGGAGAAGGAATGGGCTGATTGGTGGTTGCAAGAGTGTTGCACATGTCGATGGAGGAAATGAAATGTCATTTGACGTTTCAATTTTCAATCAGAGCATCATGCATCGGTCATCAGAGCTAGCTGTATATAACCCTAGCATGGCCAAGACACTCCCCTTGACGCGTAGCCTCGAGCATACTTGCGCTATTCTCTGCGGTGACCTGCACGCATTCCCCGCACTTGCGTCAGCATTCCCCGCACTTGCGTCAGCTTTAATTACCGTTGTGTCATGTATGAAATCCATTGAACTCCACTGAAATCCATTGAGAGGATGTGAAGAACTCTGTAGCTCTGAATCAGACTTACGAGCCAAGGAACAGCAACTCAAAGCAACTGCCCAACTGCCGTCTTACCCCTGGATCCGCCAGTGATGCATTGCTGGCCGCTTTCGCCTCACGACCGGGGCGTCTGCGACGAATGTCCTTGACTCCTCGAGTCGGTCACTTCGCCGAGAGGCGGCTTCCAGCAACGTCGCAGGGAGGTCGATGAGTGCAAATGCCTGGAGGTCGATGGCTGGATGGTGGAATCGCACCGATCTGATGTTTTTGTGCGCTGGAAGGATGGATGTCAAGTGGAAGTTCTTGGGCTACACATCTAAACACCTCCAGCAACCATCCAAACTGCGGACAGAACATGAAACCAGAAGAGGGCCCAGCACGGTACCACTCCACACGTGTCAATATGAAAGGGCCTCCTAAGCGTCGTGGATACGACAGAAGTCATCACACGAAACTAACCGGTTTGCAGTATGGCTGCCACCCTGGCGGAAGCAAACAGGGCTCGGGCCTCAGCAGGCTCCACTGGACCACCCAGGTAGTGCTCTACGGCACCAGGGCCGATGACACGAGCCTGTTGCAGGACCTGCGTCGTGCGTGCAAGCGCTGTATGACCCATCCCGGACTGCAAACAAGCAGGGTTCGGCCTGCACCAATGGAGCATAATGGTGCCGCCACTCTTTCAAAGGGTAGGTGGTCACCTCAATCTTGGGCGCAAAAATATGAGTTCAAGGAGGCAAGTTCTA